GTCTCAAACAAAACTAAACAAAAGAACAACTGTTATAACTCAGTAGTCAATTCTAAGTCCCTCCCCACCCAGATACCTGGAAAAACTGAAACGCATATGCGTAATGTTCCTTCCCAAAAGCCCACCAGAGATCCTCATCTCTTCCTTATAATCCTCTCCTAGAAACCCACTCTACCTATAGACATCCCCTTGGTCTGTAAATATCCATCTAACAGTGACCTACTTAGCTTAGCAAACACCTCACTTCTAACTACACTCTTCATCACCTCTATTCTCAGAGGTAGTTAAGGGTACCAACACCTAATCAGCCACTAACTTTAGGGCCTGGGATTGCTCTACAATTCTCATTTCAAATACAAATCTGAATATGACTCCAATTCTTTGCTGGCACAAAGTGGCCAAACACAACTCAAACACTTCACATGAAAGGGCCACTGCCTCCAAGCTCACCTCTCCCACACTTCACATTAGTCAAAGCAAACATCTTGAAGTTTCTTTAATCTGCAGTTTCTTGCCTCCTTGTCTTTAAACAAGCCCTTTCTGCAGTATTTTTCCCTTTGTCAGCAATGGAGAGGACAAAAGATGCCAGGGAGAAGAAAGATAAACTGGGACGTACAGTAACAGGAAGCTGGTTTTTTTTTTGGGGGGGGGGGCGGCGGTGAAGCTGGATTCTAGGCACAGATTTGTAATGTAGCAGGCACTTGACAAATGGTTTTTAAATAAATCCCAATATTCTCCTCTAAAATGCACTCCCTTTAGATAATACCTAATTTACTGCCCTTTTGCTCTTGCCCCACCCATTCACTGCAGCTAAGGCCTGAATGCCTTCATTCAAGAGAAACTTACAGAGTGCCTAACTAGGTCTGGTGCACTAAGCTAAAAAATTGTCCAGCCAAAACTGAGAAATAAGTGTCTTTAACAATGGAATTAATTCTTCCCTAAGGCAAACACATATCAAACAGATAAACCACACAATGGTGACTATTTTAAGAGAAGTATAAACAAAGTGCTCCAAGGAAAATAGACATACCTCTGTCTTTTTTGTAAGACCTAGGAAAACTTCAAAAGAGCATGCAGATGAGATAAAGGAGACCCTGAAGTAATTTCCGATGCTTTGGCCCCATAAAGACAGTTGTAACTGTCCACAGTTTTTCTTCCTATAATAAAGTCCTTATCTGGGCTGATCTGAGTAGATTTTTGATCCTTAAATGTTTCAAATGCTCAAGTAAATTTTTATTTTATGTGTATGCATATACTGCCTGCATGTAGGTAACTGTACCCATGTCTTACAATGCCCTCAGAGGATAGAAGCTGTCGGATCCCCTGGAACTGGAGTTACAGACAGTTGTTAGCTGCCATGTGGATGCTGGGATTCAAACCCAGGTCTTCTGCAAGAACACCCCGTGTTCTTAACCGCTGAGCCATCTCTCCAGCCCCAAGTAAATGTTTTAAATGGCTTAAAAGTATGCATCTACAAAGAAAAAAGTATAGGATCCAAGTGTGGTGACTCAGGTGTTTAATCCCAGCACTCAAAAGACAGAAGCAAGGAGATCTCTGTGAAATCAAGGCCAGCCTTATCTACAGAGTGAGTTCCAAGCCAGCCAGCTCACAAAGGCTTTTGGGGTGGGATGTTTAGATTAATTTACACCTTTTCTATTTTCTTCTATACTACTGCTTCCTCCAGATTTTCTAGAATAAGTTATCTTGTTACTAGGACCAACAAAAAAAAATTATAAAAACCTAAATCGAAAGTACTTAACACCAAAACAGCTTATCAAGGTAGTAGTTAAAAGTGTTTTGTTAAAGGTGAAGTAAACACACAGAAGAAAAGAATTAAGTTCATACAATCCTTCTGGTAGTAAATCTGTGTCACCTAAACCTTAGAAAATGAAAGTTCTGATTTAATAATTCCACTTCAAAGGAACTAATCCAAGAAAAATGATCAGAATAAAAAACAACACCAATCAGGGGGATATAAGCACATATCATTTACAATAGCAAACACTAAAAACAATTTACTTTCCAAAAATTCACTCATTCATTTAAGAAACATTTATTGACTGCCCATGAGCCAGGCACTAGAGATACAGCAATAAACAAGCTATACAAAAATCCAGATCAAATACCTGCTCTCAATGGAGCTCACAGTCTAGTGAGAGCTGGAGACTGAATTATAAATAAGAAAGTGTGTCAAGTATCTAGCATATCACATTTTGATATATACCACTGAAGGAGTTAGGGAGATAGAGAAGTAAGGGGCAGAGACAGTGAGCTGTATAGTCAGGAAAAGTCTAAAGTGGTAGCATTTGAAGAAAGGCTGTGAAAAGTGAGGGTTGTTTTAAACCTAGAAATAATTTACTTCATTAAATCTATATCACATTCTTTAAAACTGTATTTGTGACTCTGTAATATATTCCTTTATCCTAAATAGATAATTCACAACCTAACAATTCTGTTGGCTTTAGTATTTCCATCCATTTCCACAATTTTCAATGTTCTCCCATTGATACAACTGCCCCAGATATAAATAAATCTCATCTGCACATCTTATTAAACACGTTTTAAATTATTCATTACAAGAATGAAGTAAAAAGAACATCACTATTTCTGTATGGTTCAGAGTTACAAACTGACTCAGTATGACTACTCTAATCCTTGATTCTCAATTACTCTGACCACCACTCCTCATATCAAGATTCAAAATGAACATGTTACTTGCAGAAAAATTTGGTAACAGTCTCTAATGATACTGCAGCTTTCTAGCACAGGGTTGTTTACATTGTTTAGCCTCATAAGGTCCCTTTGCTAAAAAGGATTTTGATGGATGATTTGAGTAAAGCAGGTGAAAGTTCCTAAGCACCAATGCTTACAGGATTAACACAGATAAGAACTAGGTGAAGCTTCTGCTTAAGAACAAGACTTATGACTGCCCTTGGCTAAAGTCACCTTAACTCAAATGTTGCATTAAAACACTCATCAATAAAACACTGCCAAACAATACTTCATAGTACCAATGAAAAGGAGTACACTTAAGGTGCTGACAGACTTGGCAGCAGTGACAGAGATACCTGGAAATGATTTAATGTTTGGTAGTGTGTACTACAGGGCAGCAAACTTTATGTAAAGGGCCAAAGAGAAAATGTTCAAGTTCTGCAAACCAGCTGGCCTCTGTGCTGCCAGGGTAATACAAAAGCATCTGGATAATATGGCAATGAAGGGATATGGCTGTCTACCAATGAAATTTTATTTACAAAAACTTTACTTACAGCTCCAGAGTTCCTCATGCCAATCAGTGATGTAAGCATCAAACTAAATGTGAATAAACTTGAGAAAATCACCTGTCGGATTTTTTTTGTTTTGATTTTTTGGCTTGTTTGCTTTGGTAATTCTTTGGTTTTGGCTAAATTTCTGGTGTTGCTTTTTTGTTACCTATTACTATTACTACTAGGATGCTTTTTAAGAAAAAAAAAAACAAAACTTTTAATTACTTATTGACTTTTAGGGATGTTTTTACAAAGAAAAACATTTAAGGGTTTATAAATACTTAAGTAATTAGTAACAGAACAGCTGCACATACCATGATTTACAAAGTAAATTTAAATCCTCCTGATTAAATAATAAAGTGTGAATAAAGATTTAGCTAAAAGAATGTTAAAAGTATTTTTTTTATAATAATGAAAAGCTGAGAATAACCTCTACATGCTACATCTGGAGGATTAAATAAATGATGGTACATCCATACAATGCAACTACTTAATAGAATAGAAAAACATTTATTGAAAAAGATATTTTTGATTTAGTTATTTTTTTTAAAGGTTACAAAATCAAATATACAGGATAATCCCATTTTGTGAAAATAAATACACATATATACAAATAAGATACATAAAACCACTTGGAAAGATACACCAAGATATTTACAGTAGCTATGGAGGATGGTCAAATTATGGTAATTACACTTATCTTCTGGCTTACTTGTATTTTCTGATTTTTCAAGAAACAAGCTGATTTAGCAATAAAAAAACTTCTTTAAATGTAAAATAACTGACACAGGTGCAACATTATTTAGGTCAACATTTTCAAAATAAAAAACTATAGGCAGTGTATCAATTTTCATAACTTCAAATAAAGATTTCTCCTCAGTCTCCAAATGCTAACCATGAAAGTTAAAATCTAGAATTTACATTTAAAAAGAAATCTATGAGCAGGTAAGTTCGTAAGACTCCTCTGACCAGGAGCTAATACAGAAGTCTTAGCAAACCACCACTTGAACAATAAAAAATGTTTAAGACACTAATCCAATTTATCTGCTTTAGATACTGCCTTTGACATTACCAAAGGGATTGCTCGAAGTCTGAATGGAAAAATAACTATCATTATTCACGCCACTGAAGAGAGGATCTTCAATCACCAACTTTTGGGGAAAAAGAAGAGGGGGGGAAAGTCACACTACAATGTGATGGATCTCAAAATTCCATGAGAATTCCATATTCGGGTTCCAAACACATCTGTAAGAGACTCAAAGGTCAATTAATTGTTATTATGGCAAATGCTAACTCAACTCTAGATGGGCTATTGCTAATAGCCCGTATTAATTCTGGACCACCTGCCTAGCCCATCAATAAAAAATTTCAATTCAAATACATTAAAATTATTTTTCAAATGAGTGTATTAATCGCATAAATCATTGCAGCAGAAAACAGATATTAAAATATTACAATTATAGCTATGTAAAATTGTATAAAAATATGCACAAAGGCTCAAACATAATTTTCTAGAGTGGTGGAACTACAGAGAGCTTTAATTCCATTACCAACACATTTCCAAACCATGAACAATTTCAATTAGAGAATTTATTACTTGGCTAGTCATATTTTTAAAACTATACACATAAAGCATAGTCTCAAAAGCATGCAAATTGATAGACTACCCGGTACCTGTATAAGTACCATACTACTGTATTAGCTATCCAATATTGAAGGATGAGACTGAAAACTCACCATTCAGGCCCAAAGTTCAATGTCTGCGTTTCTGCTGCCATTCTTCTCAGTGTTTTAAACAAGATTTTTATATGTAGAGAAACCTGTTAAAGAGAAACATAAATCTATCAAAGAGTTCATCAAGAGAAAGTGCAGATTCTAGGCCAGAACACAGAGTGTGCTCTGTTTATATTCTTCTCACAAGAGTGAGATTTTTAAATTACTATTCATAACAAAGAGCAGGCAAAGTGAAATGAGTAAATCTATCCCTCCCTTTCAACTCTTCAGCATCTTCTTTCCTTATCTGGGAAAGGAGGCACGGCATAAGATGGAACTGATACAGTGGTTAAAGGTGGACTGATTACACAGGTGGATATTAAGGATGTTGTCCTGGATGCTGTCTTTTAGCTTTAGAGCAGTAGGGAGTGAATGGATGGTAATAATATTTACATTTCATTTTCTATTATTCTCTTGCATTAGTTCCCCCATCACCAAGTGATGTTGAGGACTGAACCCAGAGACCTACACATGACAGAAAAAAAAACACTCTACCATTGAGTAATAGCCCCAGACTTCTTCGCTATTTTTAATTTCTTTAAAATTAAAATACGTGGGCTGGAGAAATGGCTCAGCTGTTAACAGCACTGGCTTCTCCTGCAGAGGACCCGGGTTCAAGTCCCGGCACCCACATGGCAGCTGAAAGCTGTCTGTAAGTCCAGTTCCAGGGATCCGACAGCCTCGTCTGTCTTCCCAAGGCACTGCATGACACAGGTGCATTTACATACGATGCAGGCAATGCACTCATACACATAAAAAATAAAAATAATAAAATTCAAAAACATCTTAAACAATTACTATTGGCTAGGTGAAACTGTTGTCTATACTTGGGCTGATTTTGGTTCGAACTACTGCTTAAAATGTCTTCAAAATGATTTAAATACAAAAGAAACAGAACAATGAGACAGTGGTGAAGTAACTATCACTGGAGAAAGAATTCCAAGCTTTTAACAGGACAAGGAGGAGAAGGAAAGTGATAAAGAAGATTGGGGGGGGATAAGAAACACAAGCTGAAGAAGCTTATTGTGATTTGCTTCTCATCCATAACACTATACAATCTAGATGGTCACATGCAGCAGCCCCAGCGTATTTAAAGGAGGTTAAAAAACGACCAGGCTCAGTGGCATACACCTGAAGCCCCAGCTGCTTGTGAGGCTGAGGCAAGGACATTTGTTGAGTCCAGGATTTCAGGGCCAGCCTGAGGGGGTAAAAAAAACAAAACAAAACTCGTCTCTTAAAAAAGAATAAAAAGAAGCTAGAGAGATGGCTCGGAGGTTAAGAGCACTGGCTGCTCTTGCAGAGGACCCAGGTTAAGTTCCCAGCACCCACATGGCAGCTAACAACTGTAACTCCAGTTCAGTCAGAAGTCAGCCCTCTTCTGACTTCTTTGGGCATTGTATGACATGGGTGCACTTACACACATGCAAATACTCATACACATAATAAAATAAAAAGGAGAGGTCATGTGGGAGGGTGATGTGTTGGGAGGTGTCCCAAGGAGTAGGAGCATTATGTATACAAACATGGAACTGCCAAAGAATAGATAGCCAGGTGTGGTAGCACACACCTTTAATCCAGGAGGCAGAGGCAGGTGGATCTCTGTGAGTTCAAGGCCAGCCTGGTCTACATAGTGAGTTCCAGGTCAGCTGGGGCTACAGGGAGACCCTGTCTCAAAAAACATAGATATTCTTTTTTTTTTTAAAGTTGAAAATTAAGACTGGGGAAGATGGTTCAGTCAGTAAAGTGCTTACAACACAAGTCTGAGTACCCACCCAGGACTCTTAATAATCCAAGTTTAATTATCAAGAGACCAACATCAAGAAAGCATGAATGGAACAGTGTGGTCTGCTCTTTCTCCTCTATGGACTAAAGGAAGAAATCTACCTTAAGTACTGTCCTCATAATTCCTAGTTCCACACCCTAGGCCACTCTTTCCCAGTCAATTTAATAGAAGAGGCCAAATTTAGCAGATTTATATATACTAGAAGGATTATCTTACACAATGTCTCTGAATTATAATTGGAATGGAAACTACGCCTTATCTCTGAATAGTCTAGTTTTCTAAAGACGTAGGTAGCTGTTGAAATAAGAATAGGCTTCCCCACCACATAGCCAAATGGTTTCAGCTCAAACCCCTGAGTCTCCTGCCCTTTGGAAAATAGCTCTAAATTTTAAAACTCAGGACCTGAATCAGACTGTGTACCCTGTTCTCTCTCTAACCAGTCTTCTCTTTAAACTGGTTCCTCATTTTTCTCCATGACTAGAGCTATTCTGATAATTTTACCCATAATTTTTATTTTCTTTCTCTTCTACTTTCCTCAAAATATCCATGGCTTATTATCTATAAATTCTGCTCAGATGTTGTCTTAAACTTTTCTGATCTTTAGTGGTACTCTCTAAGTCCCTGAGGGTAGAACTCTGCTGACTAAAATTGCATTGTGGAAATAAGGATGTTCAGGAAATAAGGACATCAATACAAGAGGCAAAGAAAAATCCTCTCACAAATTTCTAAACCATCTGGGAGAGGAAACATGGGAGGAACCAAATTACAAATTTGACTTTTTTTCTATAGCATTACTTTCTGTATCTTTTGACAGCAACTGAATGAGGCTACCTTCAAAGCAGACACCAACTGATGAAGATCCCACTGTTTTGACAGTTTACTGGTCAGTCACACTGAAAAGATCAATCATTTGAAATCCTTTGAAACTATCAACGTCTCTATCCTTCACATAATCATTTTCCCTCAATTATAGTTAACTCTTAAAAAAAGATTCTTCTTGTGAACAGACTCTGTTTTGAAGCTGTTGTCCAGGGAGGTCCCACAGACCTTCAAACAATACTGGCTATTGCCACTGTCCTTGACTGTCCTCCAGAACTTTTCAGTCTCTATTACTAAGACGCTACATCCATGAGTGGTAGAACAAACAAGGAGAATCAAGCTGTACTGAACCTCAAACGCTTCATCTCTACTGGCTAGCTTTCATAGAAGGTGCTATGCATGTTACTGGCAGAGAAAGGTAATCATCAACCGTACCTATACATGAACCCTGCCAGCTACAATAATGACTGGCCTGGCCTACCTTCTGTCTGGATTTTTAGGGCCAACTTCAGCTGATACTGTTACCAGGGCTAAGAATCTATAGCTAGACAGGTCACAGGCCACAGGGAGAACCTAATACTATCATTCTTCTAAACAGACACAGTATTAAACTGACTCCTGATGACTTACTGTTATTATACCCATAGATTAGTGCATCTCTCAGCTCTTACCAGGGAAGGTTCTTCTTGCAAGAGATGGCAATCAACACAGAGACCCACAAATGGTAAACATGCAGAGAATAAGAGACTGCAGAGTGCCAGCCCTAAATGATACATGGCTATTACACCCTCTTCCAAGGGATCACTGTAGGAGGAGGAGGAGTGGAAAAGACTGTAAGAGCTAGAAATGGTAGACGAATACAAGGAACCTGTGTTGTCTGGACACCACAAGGTAGCTGCACATATAAACCCAGAGCTAGTGACAATGCCACGCACAAAACATGTGCAAGCCCAAGACAGACAAAAATCTAGCATAGACTGGGGAGGGCAAGAAGCCCCCGTCATAGCTAAGGAAACTACTGGCAAGCAATAGCTGCTGGGAGAGGGAGAGTCAGTTATCTTTCCTAGTGTGATGCCCAGTAGGTTGACCAGACTCCAAGGGATAGACCCATACCCAAGACCACTTCGGAAACACATATGGAAACATAGACCTTTAAAAAAACAAAGAAGAAAATAATATATGACATGAAGTTTGGGGGTGTTAAGGTGGGGTGGAGAAGAAAGTGGGAGTCTGAATATGATCAAAATACTTTATATGAAATTCTTGACTCAATAAAAATATTTTCTTTAAAGATTTTTCTTCAGGTTGGAGAGATGGCTCAGCAGTTAAGAGCACTGGCTGCTCTTGCAAAGACCCAGATTTGGTTGCCAGTATCCACATAGGGGCTAAAAATCGTCCGTAACTCCAGTTCCAGGGGATCTGACGCCCTCCTACTGACCTCCTTTAGTATTGCATGACATGGGTGCATTTACATACATGCAGGCAATATACTCATACACAAAAAATAAAAAATAATAAATAAAATACTTTAAAAATTCTTCTTTCAATACAGTCCAAATTATTTCAATTCATGCCTAGATTATTTACAAGAAAATTTCTAAGCCAGGCATGGTAGGGCATGCCTGTAATCCTAGCATTCATGAGACAAAGGCAGGAGGTCTGAAGAGGTGGCTCAGTGGTTAAGAATGTGTACTGTTCATGAAAAGGATCCATGTTTGGTTCCCAGCACCCTCATCAGGTAGCTTAACAACTGCCTGTTACTGTAGCTCCAGGGGATCCAATGACTTCATTGACAGTAATGATAGTAATAGGGTCTCCCTATGGCATGTGACCTGTCTAGCCTCATTCTAGTCTCAGCAGGCACCTGTATATACCCACATACACACTTTAATTTTTTTTTTGTTTGTCTTTTTGAGATGGGGGTCTTTCTGTAAAGTAAGCTGGCCTGGAACTATGTAGACCAGGCTGGCCTTGAACTCACAGAGATCCACTGCCTCTGCCTCCCAAGTGCTGACACTAAAGGCATGCGCCACCACACTCAGCCCTTTTCTTTTTTTTTTGCCTCCCTGTCTCAATCTCAAGATCAATTTCCCTAAAACACCATTCTGGTTGCAGCCTACTCTTCTCTTAAAATGAAGAAAATTCCTATTTTTCAGGTTACCACTTTACATCCTAACTCAAAGCCAAGTGCAAACTACATTTACCTTACTTGACTCTACTCATGCCATCCCTTTCCACAAACACCAGCTTGCTCTCCCTCAGAATGCTCTGTGTAAAACCAAACCTACTCCATAAATATTTCCCAAAGTAGAAAAGGGACTGCTCCTTCTAGAAAGGCAGATCTAAAACACAGAAACAGAATAGAATCTATACGATTCATACTGCAAGTAGAGAACTTTCTCTTTATTACAAAGCTTAAAAGCAAGCAGAAAATAGAAACGAATG